TGACAACGCAATCGCAACAGCAGCGGCAGAACTGTGTCCACCACTGACATTGTATGCAAGTGCTAGCAGAGAAAGAACAATCACTAATCAGTGATCAGGCAAACAAATGACCAAATGCACCACCAGCACCACCGGCACAAACTTGCACGCCGACAGTACCGAAAAAGAGAGTGCCACAGTGTGCATCCTGTGATGGCAACTTTTAAGCAGACTAAATGCAATTGTCTTGTTTTGTTTGGGTAGGCAGTGCCTGACTAGAGAAGAGAGAATACAGCGGTAATTTATTACCCTGACTGAATTGAAACAAAGGTTGCAGTGAAGGTAATGGCTTCAAAGCTGCCATTATCCAGCACCGGACAACGATTGAAGCTGTTTTGGGGCAAAAACAATTAACAGCACTGCTGACCATTGCAGCAGTTCACTGACCAAATGGTCAAATATTGCAAAATATTTCCAAACAATGGCTACAACAAAACTATTGAACAACACAACAGCAGGCACAGCAGTGAACAAGTGCACTTGGAACAGTGCGAGCTTGGGTGTGCCAGTGGCAAGGCACACAGTAAACACCATTGCTCAATCTGAAATCAAGCGAAGCAACCAACCAACTGGACAGGTGAAAAAACCTACTACGAACTCAAACATAAAAAACGAAAATAAAATTCAAAATCTAGTGAAGAATATTATTGCGCTAAAAATATGAGCAAGATCTTGAAATTGAAAAAAAGTAGAAAAAGTGAACACAAAAACAAAAACACTCATCCTTACCACTACTACTACCTCCACTACTTTTTGCCAGCGGAATATTCCGCAGGTCGTCAGGAACCGTTTGCCTTTTTCACTTTCGAGGATGGCACTGGGCGCCTGGAACAGTGTAGCCTGAACAAAAAGAAGAGAAAGAGAGCAAGCTTTTCTCTTCGAGCGAAAGATTCCCATTGTGCCATTGCGACATCCTCAGACCTATAGTCATCGCTGATTGGCTGTCCGACGGTCGGTGGCTTCAGTGTGTGCTGCCGACGCTCTCCTTTGCCGCTGACTCCTCTTCTCTTTTTCCTGAGNTGGAACAGTGCAGCCTAAAGAAGAAGAAGAGAAAGAGAGCAAGCTTTTCTCTTCGAGCGAAAGATTGCCATTGTGCCATTGCGACATCCTCAGACCTATAGTCCTCGCTGATTGGCTGTCCGACGGTCGGTGGCTTCAGTGGCTCAGTGTGTGCTGCTGCCGACGCTCTCCTTTGCCGCTGACTCCTCTTCTCTTTTTCCTGAGCGCCACTTCCACTGACTCGTCCGTCGGCTGTATAGTGAGTGAGTGAGCGGGAACAGGCAAAAGTACCGTTTGCCTGGTGGCTTCTTTTTCTTCTTTCTTCTTCGTCGACATCACACAGCCTGGTCCTCCTCGCGGACACTGCTGCACATTTGAGCACTGCACTCTGCCAGCTTGCCTGCTTTTGAAGCTTCGGAACCCTCTACCCGTCGATCAGCCTCAGTGGCCAGTTGGCTACTCGGCGTACACCTTATCCTTTTCCCTCTGACATCTCCCGAAGCAGCACCAAAACCAGCCGTCTTTCAGTTGTGCTTAATTATTTGCTGCTGCCGCTGTCGGTGCAAACATTCTCTCTCTCCTTGGTGTACACCTTCTCTTCGGTAGCCATCTCTCTCTCCCTTTCTCCCTCTCTGCCATTTGGTCATGAGTGCATGAATAAGTGATAAGGTTGCTAGAAGAGTACAACTGCTGCAGCAACGGCAGCTCATCTCTGGAGGCGACGTCAGCCAGAGCTGCAGGAAGAAGAAAAGGTCCGAGGCAGAAGAAGCAGCTGAGGCAGCATATAGCGCCCAGCAGCACCTAAGACCGGCGAAGAGGATAGCGAAGAGCGCCGGAGCAAACAGGAGGACACCAACGCTAATGCTAAAACTATAAATAAATAATGCGATGCTCAGGGTAGAGCTGGGCAGAAGAAGAAGGCAAAGAGAAGGAAGTAGAGGAAGAAGAGCTCCACTCGCCACGGCTACGACCACCAGAAGCAGTGTCAGGCAAATCGAACCGAGGATGGCTGTGTGCGGCCAAGCAATGATGGTCGGTGCTGCCGCCACTGCTCAGCAAGACCAGCACCAGCGAGCACTACTTCGTCTGCTACCACCACCACCTCCTTCGTCTTCTTCTTCTACTCCTCTTGCATATATCTGCTCCATCTGACCAGCAACCAGAGTTCCTCTGCCTTACTTTCTTCCTTCATTCGCCATACTTCCATCCCGTTCTTTCACTCATTCCGTGCCCTGAGCGAGGCGTCAGTGTCGGCGACCGTCGCACCGAGGCACCGTCGTCGTCCACCACCAGCTAGTAAGACTGTTTCACTTCATCACTGGCTCTTCACTGGCACTCCATTCACCGCCGGTGCTCGTGTGCATTGTGTGTGGTATGTGTGTGTGTGGCACGAAAGCGCAATCTATTATTCAAAACTTAATCATATTAACACATGCAAAAAACTTATCAAACATTTACCGATCACGTTGTCTGCTGTCTGCTGTCTGCTGTCTGCTGTCTGTGTCAGTGTCTGTCGTCTGTGCCTCAACGACTACGTGTTTGTTCGTCGCTCGACCACGGGTCGTCGAATTCCCGTGGTCGTGAATGAATGAATGAGCGGTGAATGGCGAGCGGTGTGCTTGCTTCCAATCAGAGTGTGCTTCCACAACCAACACCAGCACTACAAACCACCATTTTGCAGCACCGATTTACCGCCGATTTAGCCGCAGTACAGCGCAGCACTCCACCACCACAGCCACCTGACGACTGCTACTTACTTATTTATCATCAACATGCAAATTAAACGTGTCGCACTTTAATTCGTCTCATAAATTATTCGCCCACTCCACATACTCCACTGCTCCAATTCTCTCTGTCTGTGTTCTCCCTTTGTGTTCTCTCGGTGTTGTGTTCTGTGCAATGCTAGTGCACTCACACTCACACACACACTTTAAAGTGTCACTTGTCGCACTTGGCAGCCAGAATCAATTAGTCAGCTATTCTTCGTTTTGATATGATCCATCAACAGCAGCAGCAACCACTGTCGTCGACGTTCTGAACGTGAGCTCCTTTTTGAAATCTCAGTTCTAGCAAAGTGTTTCCTTTTGTTTGCCTGTCATCTTTCGACAGTTCTGTCTGTGTTCAACATCACTTCTTCAATCTATTTTTGCTGATTAGCGCCTGTTTACCACCAACCCTCCCTTCAAGATGATGATGATGAACAGCAACCTGATCAAGGGCGGCAATTGCTTTGGCTCGGAAGCGGCGGCTGCGGCGGCCGCGGCTGCAGCTGCTGCTGCCGCTGCCGCCGTCTCGAGCATTCACAACAACAACAACAATAACAACAACAGCAACAACAACAACAATGGTGCAACAAATGGAAACGGAAATGGAGGCGGTGGCAATCAGAACAACGGCGGTCAGAATGGCGACAACGGAAGCTCTGGTGGCGGCAACTCGCTCAACTCTCCAGTGCGCACCTTCTCCCCTCCGTCGCCGTACACGCCGTCAGTCTTTCACCGGGACATGCACCGACGGCACTGTAACTCCATGAACTCCAATTCTCACCATGTTTCGGTATGATCAGTGAAACTTCAAGTTCTGTCCTACTATCATGTTTTTTACAAATGTTTATTCTGTCCACTAAAACAAATGTTTCCTCTTCTTCCTTCTTTTTACTTTCTTTTTTCCTCTCACTACATCACAGAAGCTCTCCAATTACCACGAAAGCGCCAGTCATGTCCATTACCAAAATGCAAGTATTCGTTCACTATGTGTTCCACATGATTGTGGGCTTTACTTTTTCACTCATTGCCAAACCAACACTGTCCACTTACCAAACAATATTTGTCTCCACCACTGACTAGTTACGGTAGACTGCTGGTGGACAATTTAGGGGATTAATTTTTGCAAGTAAACAAATGACAGCTTTTCCCAGAACCACAAAAGAAAAAAGACAAAAAATACCCAAAAAGTAGACGTGGGATACACATAGGTGATAAGGGCCTGACAAATGGGTGTTCGTTTAGAGCAGGACAAGAGCACTCCGTTTAGTTCACAAGGAAAGCATGTCCCCGGGAAGCGATAAAAAAAGCAAAACTAACGAGCTAATCAAAGGCAGATTTGCAGCGCTGGAACACTTTGCATACGCTCCCCCTCTCCACTTCCACTAAACGAGATGACTGCTGCTCAGCTCATTTAGCTGCCGCATTTGCTAATTGGTCAGATTGGCCTAATTAATATTCAATTCCAGTGCCAGGCTTTCAGTTGGAGGCGGGAAAAGAAGAGAAAGAAAGCGTGAAGGAACACTTTTCTCTGAGTGCTTCTCTTCAGAGCGACAATTTGCCACCATTAACTGGTGGTGCAGTGGTGAGGAGTGCAAGGCCAATTAGGCAGATTCCCAGTCAATTGGTCGTCCACCATTGTCTGTCAGCTCAGTGAGCAGTCAACGGTGAGACGGAGCCGGGTGAGGAATACGCAATGAGGGGAAGAGAAAGGGAAGAGAAAGGGAAAAACCAAAAGATCAAATCAAAGTGAGCCAGATCAGGGTGATAAATGGTGAGCTTGTGAAAAAAGGAGGGTAGATCCAAACAGCAAAAAGCAGTCAGAAACAACAACTGCCAATGAGGAGATAAAAATGACGCAATGTAGGCCTTGGAACACTGCAAAGATTGCAAACAAATGCTCTCTTTTCTCACAAAATGCTTCAATGGTGGCAATTTATCATTACTCTTTCTACCTTTTATTTTAATGCGGGGAACTAACCGAAAACCTTACTTTTTTACTCCCCTTCCCATAAAAACACACTCACACAGAACACCACAAACCTCTTCACAGCAGCCGGCCTTGATGTGAGCGTCGCCGATCTGCACGACCTCACTAGTCGGGGTGGGCAGATCGGTGGAGGCGGTGGTGGCGGAGGGGGCGGTGGTGGAGGAGGGGGCGGTGGTAACGGCCTCGGCGGCAACAACCTCAAAACGGACATGTCCTCAATGTACCATCACCACATGATGGCGCAGCAGGGCAGACAGGCGGCAGGACATGTCGGTCCGCACGGGCCGGTGGTGCACCCCAGTGACATGCACGATTTCCTCAGCGGCGACCCGATGGCAGCGGGGCTGCCCGCAGCTCTGGGCCTCTCCTCAGGTATCGACGGCAACGGAAACGGTGGAGGAAATGGGGGAAATGGCGGGCCTCATCATGGCGGAAATAATGGTGGCAATGGTGGTTCCAATCAGCTGCACGCCCCATCGGCGCTCTACTCCTCACATCACCACGGTGCAATGAACAGTAAGTGTGCGCCCTTTTCCTTTTCTCTGTCAGCTGGACCTAAACTTTTTGTCAGTCAGTCTGCCGACACACACACATTCCAGAGTGGTGCTGAATTATTGACAACGGTGGATCAATTATTCACTCACTACCTGTGGAAGTGAAGAGGAGTGGTGGTAGATGAATTATTCAGTGCTCTCTTTGAGGTGTTGATGGCCAGAATGAGCAACAGTGCTGTGAATGTGAAAGGGGAAGATATAACTGACTGACACTGACACCCACATTTTTATTCTTCTCTTCTTCGCAGTGAACGGCATGATCAGCAGTCTGCACCACCACACCTCGGGCGGTCAACTGGTGGGCGGTCACCAGCTGCAGAACCCCTTCCACCCTGCCCACCACCACCACAACTCCTTTGTCTCGGCGGCGGCGGCCGCCGTGGGCATGGGCTCCTCCTCGGCTCTCTCCTCCTCCTCCTCCGTCTCGCCGCACCACCAACTGTCGCTGGCGGTGAACGACCCCTCGCTGCTCGAGGCGGACCCCCGGGAACTGGAGGTCTTTGCGGAGCGCTTCAAACAGCGGCGCATCAAGCTGGGCGTCACGCAGGCTGACGTCGGCAAGGCGCTCGCCAACCTCAAACTGCCCGGCGTCGGCTCACTCTCACAGAGTACCATTTGCCGGTGAGTGAGCACTCTTTTGCTGGGGGCAAAGTCAGCTTTGCGAACCTTAACACCCTCTTTTCCCCTTCCATTGTTTCAGCTTCGAGTCGCTGACACTGTCCCACAACAACATGGTCGCCCTGAAGCCCATTCTCCAGGCGTGGCTGGAGGCGGCCGAGGCGCAGGCGCGCAAGAACCGTGTCACCCGCGAGGCGGCGCTGGACATCTGCGTGCTGCCCTCGCTGGATAAGAAGCGAAAGCGCACCTCCATTGCGGCGCCCGAGAAGCGCTCCCTCGAGGCGTACTTCTCGGTGCAGCCGAGGCCGTCCGGCGAGAAGATCGCCGCCATTGCGGAGAAGCTCGACCTGAAGAAGAACGTCGTCCGCGTGTGGTTCTGCAACCAGCGGCAGAAGCAGAAGCGGATGAAGTACTCCGCCGTCAACGGACCTGGGGGACAGGGCCAGTGAGGGTGAACTGAATGAACACACTGTACATATAACATTTGGTGAGAAAGCGATGAGCAATTTGAAGAAAACGACATCGACGACAACGGCTCTAGTCATCTTCCATCTAGTCAACAGCCACTGATTGTGACCAATGAATCCTCTTCCTCCTCTTCCTCTTCCCCTTCTCTCTCATTCTCCTTTGTCAAATACCTTTTGTGTACCTCTCTCAAACCACCTTCTTTCTTTCTCACCCTCAACGTTTTGCAGCTTTTGTCGGCTGCTCTAGTCACACAACAAAACAAACACGGATCTCACTGCGAACTCTAAAATCTCATTTCCCTCATTGCTTCTGCTGCTGGTGTACACTCAACTCTACATTCTTCCGAGGATCAGAAACAACAACAGCAGCAGCTATTTACAAATAAACATTCCATTACCATTTTAGTGGTGTTCGCTAGGAGATGATTCAGGATCATCATCCGCAGGGAGGGAGGGTGAATCTTCCCGATCAGTGCTGACGAGCACGAACACGTGTGCGTGCCGTCGGGCAAAAAGTGCTGCCGGTGACGACCTGAGAGAGAGAGAGGAAAGAGATGGTAGGCCATTGAGGTGCGTGCCAGTGCAGTGCAGAACAACAACAGCGGCAGCACTCACAGACGGAGACAGCATCGAAATGACCATCCCAAGTTGTGTCTGTAGTGTCATAAAGGGGCACACGTGTGCCCACCACACACACACACACTGAACCATTGAATGCTGCACGCGGCCGACCTTGTGCAGTGCGCCCGGTCTGATCCAGCAGCACCAGAGTTGGAGGCCGTTCTCCCTGACAACGACTATTTAAGCAAAAAGCTGAAGGAGAGCGAGAGAGAGTGCTTGGCTTGTGTCTAGCAAACGTGTGCCGTGTGCCGGTGAACCAACAAATCCTTTTAGCTGAAGGAGCCATCACAAAACACGACAATGCAAGTGCAGCAACCACTTGAAGCAAACAAACCCAACTCACTCTCCGGTCTCTGTGTTCCACTTTAATGCCAATTAGACGGTGGCTTCTCTCAATTGAATTAGGGTGCCTGTGTGTCCATTTGAATTGAACTGTTTGCATTGCTTCCTGCTGTTGGTGCAGGATGGATGCCGGTGTTGTTGGAGCTGTGACGATCGTCTTTTGCTTGCAAGTTTTCACTTCAGCTAATTGAAATGAGTAAAAACACAGTGTTTAGTTTGCAGAAACAGGAAGGCTTCTTTGTAGAACAGTAGCTCGCACCACTTCATCAGAAGCACCGGCATTTGAAGTGTATATTACACTATATTGAGAGCAGATAAAAGACGGTAAAAGACGAGTAGAGGTAATTAGACTGAGAGGACAAACAGCAGAAGCAGCAGTAGTAGTAGTAGGTAATAAAAAACGCTGTTAAATGTATCTCAAGTGAAAAGTGACCGGATAGGTGATATCACACAGGTATATCTCCCAAACCTGGCCAAACTTTGACACTGACACGAACTTGGCGACTGTCAGCTTTTGCTGTCTGCTGTGGCAGTGCACAGTCAGTCGGTTACACCCAATGCCTTTTATTGCAGCTGATCCATCTAATTTGATTGAAGTAGTGGTTGGTAGCAGTAGAGCAAAAAGAGACACTCGAACAATGTGAAAAGTGGTAAGTGGAAATATTGTTGCCAACGATAGAGCACACACCAAGAGAGGAAGAGACATACTGCCATTGATGAGGCAGCCAAGCGCGACCTTTCGCTCTTCCTCTCCGTCTTCCAAATCGGCTGAATGATTCAATTAGCCAGTAATTACGATCCGGCTCTGTCTGAGTATGTGTGTTTTTGTGTGTGTGTAAATATCACTGGTAATGTCTTCATAATGCCATCAACAGCAGCTTACCAAGAGCAACCATATTAGCACTAGCAAGCATCGCAAGCATTCATTAGAACTCATCAATTATGTAGTGCTCAACTTTAAGCAGCTGTAATAGCAGCTTGAGCACTTGTTCATTTCGATTTGCATTCTTCCTTGTCCTCGCTCCATTTAGCAGCCAAAAGGAGAAAAGGAATATTAGAAGTTCACAAAAAAGATGAAGAGAAAATGCACCATCAGTGGTAAACAGACACCGGTGATCAATGCAACACAGAATAGTTGTGCAATCGTACTGCACAATTCTGGTGCCCTTTCCACTCGCCCCCTCTGTTCGATAATAGCCCATATAATGTAAGAGTATAATGTAACTACTACAACTACTAATCGTCTTAAGTAGTTTAATCATCAGCAAAAGTATAAACTGGCAAACGGGTGCAGGCAAAGTTTGGTGTGCATTAGAGAGAGACATCAGCGTGCAGTGATTGCTGCTATTCTGCAATGGGAGAGCTACATGTGTAATCGCATTAGCTGGAGAGAAAGACAGTACATGTCGAGTACTTTTGAGTACAAATCCGATTTAGTTCGGGTCTATCTGAAAAACACCGAAACACAGTGCAGCTGAAGGGCAAAGTTGAGTGTCGAATAAAGTCATCAACAGTGAAAGTCGTGGTGGTGATGGTGGCCACTTCAAGCCTTCGAGACTGGTCGAGTGGACAAACTCTGACTAGTGGAAATAGTGAGCTTCTCCCGCCACGGCACTTTCAAAACATACTCGCTCTTTCTCGCTCTACAAAATTATTTACATTGTAAACAGGTGGTAGTGGTGCCAGATTTGCCAACTGAATCAAGTGAGCCAGTCACACCACCACTAAAATGTGACAGTTTATTATTTCGTTAGCACAACAACTGCTCAAAACATTGCTGCCATTATAAATTCTGTTTGCCAAAGATGGCGCCTTTTTGTGGCGCGAGGATCATACTCAACTGGAGCAAGTTGGCTCTAGCCACTGTGATATTCTTCGTCTTTCTTCACCTTCTAGTATCTCATAATGTACTGTTCAGTACAAAATCTACCAAAATCTGTGAAAATGCTCAAGGTGATAACTGTGCCAACGATGCAACGACCCTATCATCATCACCACCACCACCAACTTCTAGTCAACCGATCCAAAGGTAAGTACTTCTGTTTGAGGGAAAAAAAGTTAACCAACATTTTTTAACTTGACAGAAGTGCCAGCCAACCGACCATAACAGTGGCAATCACAATTTGTGGCAACACCAGCATGGCACAAGGTCTGAATGCTCTCAAATCAGCACTGATCATGTCCTCCGCTTCAACGATGCTGCACTTTGAGATCATGACAGACCAGCACCAGATGAGTGCCATTTCAGAAAAGGTAACTTTAACCCAAACTTACTTTTAGTCACTCAAAACTCACAAAATTACTTGTAACTTACAGTTGAATGAGCTAAAGAGAAAGCGCAGCAACTTTACGTACAAACTTCGACCAGTTGAGTATCCAAATAGAAGCACAGCTCCAACGTGGAGGAAGCTCTTCAAAGAGTGCGCCTCTCAGCGGTTGTTCTTGCCGGTAAGAAAAGACTGACTTGAAAGTAAACAAATGCTTTAAAGAACATTTAACTCTTTCTTTGCCAGGACATTCTTCGTGATGTCGACTCGGTGCTGTACATCGACACTGACGTTCTCTTCGTTTCGCCGGTGGAATCAGTCTGGGGGCACTTCAGTCGGATGAACGGCAGCCAAATAGCGGGCATGTCGTACGAGAGCGAGGACTTCTCCACCAGTTGGTACTACCGCTTTGCGAAGCACCCCTACTACGGCTACTACGGCCTCAACTCGGGCGTCATGCTGATGAACCTGACGCGGATGCGCGCCTTCCGCTGGGTAGACAGACTGGAGCCCGTTCTCCGGCAGTACCGCAGCCAGATCGTCTGGGGCGACCAGGACATCATCAATGTGATCTTCCACGAGCACCCGGCGATGCTGTACCTTTTTGGCTGCAACTGGAACTACCGACCGGACCACTGCGTCTACGCCTCAGTGTGCAAAGCTGCTGCTGTTGAGGATAAGGCAGAAAAGGGCAATGCTGAGGGCATTCGACTGGTGCACGGCAACCGAGGCGTCTTCCTGCACGACGACAAGCAGCCCGAGTTCAGGGCGCTCTACCTGGCCTTCTCCAGGCTGCCCCTTCTCGAGGACGTCCACCGTACCAGGTCCTACCTGGCGGAGTCAATTCGAACCGCCCTGGCAGAGCTGCCCAATCCTTCGCGCTGCGCCAAAGTGTCGCACCTCTTCTGGAGGCAGATTGCTCAGACTATACCCTCGGGCGGGAGCACTCAATCAAAGGAAGAACGGGGTTAAAAACTAGGATAAAGTTGTGGAAGTTTTTGTCACAAAAGCAAAAGTTGTTGATGTGGTTTGTGCTTGGTGCAAAGCTCAACTGACTGATGCGTCATCTCAATTCCGGGTGCAAGTGGTTCCGGTTTGGCCAAGAGAAGGAAGAAAAAACTAGCTGACTGACTGACTGATTTGAAGCCACGACTAGTTGCGTGAAGCAGCAAAGGAAGCACCTTATCACTTGATATTGCCCATAGTGGTGGTGGTGGTAGCAGTACTGGCGAACTCAGTATTGCCCCTGCTATCAGCAATGCATACATCCTCTTCAGCACGACGACCACTGATTTGTTTGAGTGTATTCAGCAGGCACTTCTGCTCAATTTTTATTTGCGCTGTCCACTTGCAAGGCTCACTTCGCTGACTGCCAACAGCAACAACTATTCTTCAGTTTTGTTCGCCAACTGCACCGAACTGAATTTGTAAATTAACCAGAAAAGATGGTTGCTAGGTTTCTCCCCTTTACTATTGCTGCCTGCCTCCTACTGTCTGCCAGCTCGGCTTTGCTGGTCAGCGGATATCCGAGTGAAGGCGAAAGGGAAGGCGCTGCTGATGGTGGCGGTGCTGTTAGGGGCATCTCCGACAGCGTCGTCTCATCGGTCAAGGACTCGGGTAAGCTCACACTCTCACTTTGTTGCTGTCACTTTTATAACATTTTAACTTCTCTTTTCCCTGCCAGGCAAAAAGATCGTCGACAAGTTTGACCAGGTCTTCTACGGGCTGCTGGACGAGGCAGTGCAGAAGTACATCAGGGAGGACAAGGCTAAAGGCGAGTTCAAGGACATGGTCATCCGCCACCGTGGCGACCTGGTGCACAACATCAAGGAGAACCTGGTGAACCGGGAGAACATTCAGCTGGACGACGTGAAGAACGCCGTCATGAGAGAGATCAAGAACCGTGTCGAGCTGTTCAACTACGTTGGAGGTGGTGTCTGGAGCAGGGTTCGTTCCTGGTCTGGCCAGCTGATGGACAAATACAATAGACACTGCGAGCAAAATGGAAAGAGCATCATTTGCTTTGGTGGCGACGACAAGAAAGACCAAAACTCGGTGAAGAGGAAGAGCGACGCGGAAAATGAAGTCGAGAGAGAGTACTCTGAAATGTAGCCATTTCTTTTTCTGTACAGCAGCAGCAACAGTTCTTTTTTTGCAGAGTAAAAAGTGCACCGCTTTCGCTTTCCCGGTGAAAAGTGCTCTTGCTTAAAAATAGATTGCGGAATATTCTTCTTCTTCTTCAACTCTGTCTGAATGTCAGCAAATGTAAACTTTAGCAGAAAGAGCAGAAGTCAATGCACCTCGTCAGCGGGAGCAGCCCTTTTGCCAGAGTGAGCAGTGTCAGCCAAAAGTGCTGATTTGATATCCACTCAAAGTATCAGTCGTCTTCCTCGCTACCGGCTTTTTTGTTGTTTGTTGTTTGCATTTGTAAATGCCACACACATTTGCCGTTGTCATCATCGATTGACGACGTGTTGTTAATGCACTAGAGAGTCTGCTTTAACTGTGTGTCGTATCCTTTCAACGCCGATGCGCTTGTTTGGACAACAAACAAACGCCAACTCAACGCACACCCTGAATAGCAATGACGGCAGTTCGAAATGGTGATGATGACCAGCACTGGGATGGGGATGGGGAGAAGAGACAAGCAAGAGAACACTGCGAAATGGAGGATCTGGTGAACGGCCACCGAAGAGCTCACGGCCATCACGGTGGCCATCGACGGCGAGGATTCAGAGAGGAGCTGGCGAGAGTGCTCAACTCCTACCGATTTCACGTAATACCACTGCAAACAAATTACCATTTGTCCAGATTTGTCGTAAAAAGAAGTTCGAACGTGTGATCTTTTTCTTCTTTCTTTGTTTACCTCTACTCTCTAGATTGCCATCCTCGTTCTCGTCGGCTTCGACTGCCTGCTCGTCTTTGGTGCCCTGATCATCGACCTGCGACTGTTCACCACACATCCGCACTGCAACGTCTCTGACCCGGCGAACCACAAGCAGCTGACAGAAGAACACCATACTCTGGAGACCATCGAGAAGGTATTTGGTTGGAGTTCTCTTAAAGAATTCATATCCAACTTTGATTCTATGCAGATTCTCCATTTCACGAGTATTGGACTGCTGGGCCTCTTTGTGGTGGAAGTCATCCTCAAACTAATTGCTTTTGGCGTTCATTTCTTCTACAAGTTTGAAGAGCTAATTGACGCTATCATAATCATCATCTCGTTTGTGCTTGACATTGTCTTCATCAACAATGAGTTTCTAAAGTTTATGGGCGTCTTGATTTTCCTTCGACTTTGGCGTATTGTGAGAATCGTTCATGGTAAGCATATTCTGAAACCTGTTGCCAATGTATGGAATTAATTGATTTTGACCGTTTACCATTTACAGCAATTATAACCGCTGTCATGACGCCAATGGAGCATAAAATTGAAATTGAAGAAAAAAGGCGTGAAATAGCCGAACACAAGCTGAGAGTAGCATTACATGAAATGGAACTGTTGAAAAGTAAACTACAAGCCTATGAGCAGCAAGAAAAAGTTGAACTAGAAGAAGCCGACGAAAATCAGTCACCAAACGATAGCGTAAGATCGGCTGACTAGACTCTTTCGCCATCACCTTCAAAAGCAATAAAACATTTTGCCAATTCACTGTGATATTTGGCCGTCGCCGTAGCTGATTGACCTCAGCTAGACAACAGCGTGTCCGCACGACAACACCGACAATCTGGATCATTATCGACGGAGGAGCAGATATATTTGGTACCATTAGGACAACCTTTATTTTCCCCACTGTGCAATCCAATAATGGCAAATAGTGCACCTGTCTGAGTACCACCAAAGTGCTACTCACTTCAATTAAATCCACTGATTCAATGATTGCCGGATTAAATCCGTCATTGTGTCCCTGTACGGTGAGACACTGTTGCATTGTTGCACTGGACTGCACTGGTGATGTTGCTGGCGGTGATGATGGTGCTGGTGTTCTTCGGTACGTGACTGGCGACACCACCACCACCAGGTCACTGGTTTGCAATTCAATGGGCACTGCAATCAACACCGACCACGTAACCACAGCAACAAACGAGAGAAAGAGAAAGAGTGCCCACGGTGTGCCCAACACGGGCAGACAGTGATTGCAGTGAATGGATTCAATGGAAGTGGAAAGAGAGAGAGAGAGAGGAGTAGTGCGATTGCAGTACGCGCATGCCGGCGCTATGCTGGCACACACACTGCAGAGTGCAGACGAAAGTCAGCACAACAAATCCGAGAAGAGTGGGATCCTCTGCATTGGCCACTTGCCACCACTTCTGTTGCTGTGAAAACTCGTTTCCCCAATCACCACCAGACCTGGTCGGTGTCACCACTGTTCTGCTGCTTCTGTCATTCAAAACAAAATTAGCATTGTCTACTTCTCATTAGGCATTAGAGTGTGTGTGTCATCGTCGCCGCGCTTCATTGACGTCTATTTTTTCAACACCACTTTCAACTACGAGTCTCATTGTGTGCTGTCAAACTGGAGAGAGTACTGCCTGCTAACCAGCTATCAGATCGGATCTGTGTGATCATCAAACAGCGTCTCTCTCCCTCTCCCTTAACACTTTGCATCACTAATTGGACAGCATGGCCGATTTGGTTGAAGAGCCCGTCTGCAAGGTGGACGAACTGCAGATCAACGAGTTAGTTTCACTTTTCTTGCCTTGTGTGTGTGTGTGTGTTTACACCTGATATAATGCTCCTTTCACGCACATGTTAGAAAGAAACTGGTGCCTTTTGGGGGCGGGAAGATCATCGTAGTTCGAGAAAGTGAAGATCAGTTTGCTGCAGTGGGCAGCGTCTGTTCGCACTACGGAGCACCGCTGATTAACGGTACGTGTTCATTGACTGATTGACCACCATCATCATCCCCATCATCGATTATCCTCTTTTCATTTCCGATGACAGGCGTCGTCTACAAGGGACACATCAGCTGTCCTTGGCACGGTGCCTGCTTCAACTTGCGCACCGGCGACATTGAGGAATTTCCCGGCTGCGACAGTATACCTGCCTATGAGGTGAGTGCCATACCACCACTGGCAATTGGCGCCAATTAGTAATCTTAAATACTTTCTCTCTCCGTTGCTCTACACAGACGTACGTCAAAAACGGCTCCTTGTACGTGAAATCCCCGCAGAGTAGCATTGTAAAGAAGCGTGTTAAGCCACTGACGCCTCGAAGTATCATCAACCGCACAACCTACATCATCATCGGCGGAGGTATTTTCACCTTTAGCACCACTTCCACCTCCTCTAAACAAACCGGTGATTAATTTGTGATTTACTGATATTTTTTTCATGAAGGACCTGCTGGCTTTCAGTGTGCCGAAACACTTCGCCAGGAGGGCTTCGATGGCCGAGTGGTGCTCATCAGTGCCGAAAGTGTGCCTCCCTATGATCGCACCAAGTTGAGCAAGGTCAGGACGCGAACACCGTTTGGGTGATCATTCTTTATCAACTACTCTCTTCTAAAACACACACACAGGCACTAACATCGAAAGTGGAGGATATTCTGCTTCGCAATGAGGAGTACTTCAAGAAGGCGGGCATTGAGCTGCTGTTGGGAGTACAGTGCACAAAGGTGGACGTCAACTCGCAGTTGGTGTATCTCGATGATGGCTCCAATCTGAACTACGGCAAACTGTTCATCGCCACTGGCTCCAGTCCTAGAAAGTATGGCTCCCTAAGTGGGAACGAGAAAAATGTCTTTTACATGCGAACGTACAAGGTACGCTTTCCTTCTTTTTTCGGTCATTTTCCCATTCAGTAACTTTTCATAACTTCTGGGCAGGATGCGGCCAACATAGCTGAACACTCGAAAGACAAGAATGTCGTCCTGATTGGATCTTCCTTTATCGGTTCGTGCTTGAACTTATGATGATGTCGTAATAATGGCTGAACCTTCATCGCTATTATTTAGTTATGGAAATCGCTTCGTACCTCAGTGGAAAGTGCAAATCAGTATCGATCATCAGCAAAAGTGAGACTCCATTTGCCGGCACACTCGGCCCGGAGATTGGACAGCACATTAAGAATGTAAATAACTGATTTACTGAGCATTCATTACTCATCAGCATTATTCATTTCGAAAAATAATCCTCTTCTAGCTTTACCTCTCCAAAAAAGTCGACTTTTACGTTACACCAAAAGTGGACTTTGTCATTGAAGAGCAGCTCATCAGAAAGGTCACATTTGAAGGCACCGAACTGGAAGCAGATGTTTGCATTATTGGAATCGGTATTTCCTTTGTTGCTAAACGTCCTTTTTTTCCATTGAGACTTATTTGAGATACACTTTGTGTTTTGCAGGCAGCGATCCAAACACCCAGTTTTTGGCAGACAATGCAGACATCAAGCTAAGCAACTCCTTCATCGTGGTGAATGAAAAGTTTCAGACATCAGCAGAGGATGTCTACGCCGGTGGTGATGTGGTCCTCTATCCGAATGCGCTCTTCGATAATGCCCTCATGAACATCGCCCACTGGCAAACGGCACAGATACATGGCCGCTTTGCGGCACTTGCAATGCTCGACAAGACCACCTCCTTCACCAGTGTTCCCTTCTTCTGGTCAGCCGCCTTTGGCAAGGGCATTCGATTCGCCGGCACAATACACGACCCGAAAAATGTGTACATCGAAGGCGACCTCGAGCAGCTGTCATTTGTGGCCATTTACTACAACAGCAAAGGTCGAGCAGTCGGAGTGGCCACCATGGCAAACGATCCAGTGGCGACGGCCTTTGCCGCAGCCTTGAGAAATGGAAAAGTTATTACGAAAGATGACATTGATAGTCAGGGATTCGCGTGGCTGGAGGAGATTGTTAATTAGTGCAATCAACGGAAACAAAGTATTACTTATTCAGGGTACTGAACAAGACAATCAGTACTTTTTTGTAGCATCTTGTTATTGCAAAATTAAAAATAATCTAGTTGACAATTTGTGTAATCATTCTCAATTAATCTTCCTCGCAAAAACTACGATTTACATTAAACTTTTCTAAGTAGTCTGCCGCGTAGTGTTGAGGAAGCGGCTCTTCAATGGTTTTTCGAGTAAAGTCATCCCAATATTCAGGTTTACTTTGGCCAGTTGCCTCCAAGTATTGCTTTTCTTGTGACTGCAATTAAAAACTTGTAAAAAATAAAACCAGATTAAATGATGCTTTACCTCAGTAATATAAGGTTTTTGAAGGAATTTCATTACTTCTTCTTCATACTTTAACTCTCTCACCAAGTTTATTTTATCGGAAATTGTGACTGGTGGAACGAACCGCTTTTTGCTGTGAAGTAAACAAGTTGGAAAAGTTTTAACTGAATAACAAAAATTCTTACCCTCTGAGAACATTTCCGGGGTGTTTTGGAATCGGTCCAATGAATTCCCTTCGGAATGAGTTGAGAATAAGTGATAAACGCATTTTTGCTTGGAGATAAACAAAACATGCATCTGATTCTTTTGAAATCAGCTGCTGCCGCCGCATGAAAAAGCATCTAAAATGACCACCTCTGTCGCTGACTATTTTCATCAGCTCAACTAAATCTGGTTTTTTAAACTTGAACAATTTGAATAAAAAGCTCAATAGTTTATTAAAGTACTCTTTTCACCGATCCATTACACCTTTACATAGTGTGCAGTAGAGATACAGAATTTGCAGCTTGCCGGTAAAATCATGTGTAAGTCGTCCGGAGTAGTTTTGCAGAGGAAAGCGCTCTACGGTGTTTATCACATAGTGGCCCAGACGAACACGCAGAGTTCGGCACCGGTTGCACATGAAGATAAATTGCTGCATTGCCTGGTAAACAGGTTTGGGAGTGACGGTGTCGGAAAACATTTTGGAAAAAATCCGCTGATCGGCAATAACCTTCTCCAGAGCACGTGTAAAAAGAGAATCGTTGAGATCGTTTTCAGTGATCATTCTATCAAGTCGTTGGGTGAGATCAAAGTCATGCGAAAATTTGTTGTGAGAAAAGTCCAGTTCCGAATGAAGTGAAGACGCCATTGTTGTGGTCGTCTCATTAGCGTGAATGAAATGCAAGTTATTGTGCGATAAATCAATCTTATCGTAGATTGTAGTGCTGAGAATTTTCATTGAAAAGATATTCGGTAAGCTGAAAATAGAGTTGTTGCTGAAATTAAATGACTTGCAGCATTTGAGAAGAATTATCTCGAAAGGAAGCCCTCTCAGCTTGTTCCAGCTGAGATCTAGTGTTTTCAAATTGATCATTCGTTTACAGAACCACATGGGTAGTTCGTCAATTTCGTTGCGACTTAAAATCAAACACGACAGTGACCGGTGAAGTTGATGCAGCTCTCGCGGGACTCGCTTCAGTTTACAGTCGGTTAGTTTAAGAATAGACAGATTTTTCAACGTCCAAATGTCACTTGGAACCTTCTTTAGTGAAGACAACTCAATCGTTTTCAGGCATTCATTTGAGAGCTTCTTGAGCTCAGCTTTGGAAGCACCAATGGAGCTCAAGCTTACTTGAGAGGGCTTCATCAGGTAGATTCGCTCAATGTTGGGAACTTTGGGAATTGCACTGTGACTCGGCTCGACAATCTTGCGAATCAGCCCCTTCAGAGTAATGAGCAGCTCCTCCTGACAGTCTCGAATCATCACGTACCGATTGGGCGTATGGAACTCAAAAGACGATCTGTACATCTTCACATTTGTTTTCGCCAAGTGAAATCGGTCGCGTTGATTGGTGCGCACCACCACGAGAAAGTACGCCTCGCGGACAACATCGCGACCCACTCCGACCACCGCCCTCACGAATCGCTGAACCTGCTGACTGGGAGCGCAGACGGCCACTTCGCAGTGGATGATCATTTTGGTGGGCGGAAAGTGGACTTCAAGCAAACTCTTCAAAAAAAGTCAACGGAAGAAAATAAGACGCGGCAAAAATCAAAACATTGCCCTGACTATTGTGACGCAATCGGCTAGCTTTTGTGTTTTGTCTTTCTGAATCCTCGTGTTTCTCCAACGCCGGCTCAACGTTTCACAAACACTCGATGAAATTACTGCATCATTTTCAAGGATTCAAGCAATCGGCCACATTTTGACCTCTTAAAAGCTACAAGTAATCGGAGATGGAACGCAGCTTGCTTTACTGGTTTCGCAAGTTTTTGGAGCAAGACGTGCTCACCTGCGGATTTTATGCATGTTTGCTCTTTGTCAGTACGGCATTTCTCTACCATCTGGGCATTTATCTCAGGTAAGTTTTTGTTCAGTGTTGGCATTGATTTTAATTAATGATTTATCATTTAGATACATGATTAAAATCAACACAGAATGTTGGTTTTGCATGAAGAAAACTCGTGTTTGTCTTGCTAACCGAAACTCTTGGACCTGCTCTCACTGTTTGCAGTACAATGGATTTTCTAAGGTAATATCGCCTTGATGTTTTTGCTTATACATCAAATTTAATATTGTTTTTTCTTGCAGTCTGGGTCTTACAACAAAGTCATTGATGATCACTATGAACTTAACGAAGACCGATACTGCCAGCCAAGCTCTTCGGGAGAAAATTACGAGCAACACCGTCTGTGCAATGAATGCAACAAGAATCAAGAGATGAAGATAAAACTGCTGGCTGACTTTGTTCCTTTAGATGAAAACAATTTTACTAAAGAGGCAACTGAATTTCGTAAGCACCTGGAAAGTGTTTACAAGCTTTGTAGCCTCTGTGAGCTGTTGGTTGAAAAAGTGTTGAAAACAAAGTTAGAAGACGGAACAACCAACATTCGGCAGCAAATTAAAGAACTTTGTCTCACCGATTTAGGCTCAAGCTCTAGTGAGGATGATCTCTGGAAATCTTCTAGCAGTAGTAGCACATCGTCAACTATTAAATCGAGTTTTAATCCTTTCTCAACATACACCACCACGGCTGCTTTCTGCTTGACTCCAAATCAAACGCCTTTCTCTGGTGATTTGTTTGGCAAGTCTTCGCAAAGCTTTTCCTACTTTCAGTATGCATACTCAAAATCAGCTCCGCTTTATTCAAATGATGATTTACCAGAAAAGTCAGTTTTTGGGAGTGGTGAGCATTTCAGCTCAAAAGGCCCATTCATGGCTTTTGCCGAAGGAGCATCTTTCAATGAACAGTTGTCATCTTTTCCCGACAAATCTCCACCTCAATACTCACCTGGATCTCCTCGTATCCTCAATTATTACGTAAACTACCGACAGCAGTCAGGCAATAAGAAGTCATCGTCATTGAAGCCTATTGAGAAAGAAGCAGCTTCTTCGAAAAACATTTCCATTTGGATCAACAACATGCTTCACACCTTTGAGTTGATTCTCTTGCTTGTCATTATTGGACTTATTATAATTCTCCTTTCAATGCCCGTCACGTTTAGCTACAATTCAGAGTTTAACAACTTTAGTCTGAACATTGTGCTGAACAAGAGTGCCTAGGGCAATCAATTTTTGTCTACTATTTTGTGCCATTTTGTAAATTGTAACAAGTTATTTTTAGCAGCTCATAGACAAATAAAATCATAGTATTTCAATCAATTTTACTTGGTACAAACACAATTCACTTTTTCCTGTAAAGTTTGCACCATTTTTTACAAATCAAACATAATGAAACCCAATTTACAAGGGCGTTCCACGAACCCTTAGTTTATCAGACATTGACTTCTCTTTCGCTAAATAAATCAAAACCAAATGCACCGTGCTCAAGTGAAAGGTTATAGAAATTATATTCAAGTTTGAAACATCATATTACAAAAATATTGCCATTTGCAAAAAGGTAAATTGAGAGTAGCACAAGCTGTTGTTTGTAAAGAGGAGACGAGATACATATTGGAGAAGGCAAGGGCAAAGGCAAAGGCATGGGAGTGAATAAATGAATTCTAAAGGGTAAATATTAAGCACTCATGTGAATAAGTTCAAGCAAATTGCTACAATAATAATAATAGAAGTTGTTTGTAGTATACAATAATAATAAGAGAGGACGAATAAGAAAGAACGATATAAATGCAAAAATATATGCCAAATGTGATGCGAAAATACTTGCGTAATCGGAGAATATTATTACAAAATGGTGCAGAGTTTGAAGAGTAGTATGTCGCATTGCATGTCCTCCTTAGTTCTTGCCGTTGAGTTTGCTCTCGTCGGATTCAGTCCAGTATGCGTAGCCCTTTGCGACCAGTTCAGCGTTGATGTCAGTGCGCTATGAGATGGTACAGCAAATGGAAATTTGAATTAGCAATTAGCATTCGCCAACAAAAAAGACAAGACTTACATTTCCTCCTTGGGAAAACTTGAAGAGTGTGACAAAGGGAGTTCCATTTTCATCGTAGTCATCAATTTCAGCATGAATAATCTGTCCTTGAGCCTGCTCGACAAAGAACTGATTTGCTTCAGTAGACCAGCCGTTTTTAGCTAAAGAGAGAATCGGAAACCGTCAGAAAAGAATATTTGTGAGCAGGGGAAACCACACTTACCATCAACTGGCACGACATTGGCCAGAAAGCATTCCGAGGCTTGAAAGGGCAAGACGATAAAGTCGGAGCGAATTGGGCGCAAAGTGGCGACAGGCACGTTGAAGGCGAATCCGCCGTAGTCGACGAACATGATATCACACTGGTTTTTGGACTGGTGGACAACCTTGATCATGGCTCGGTACCAGCCCTCCTCGGTGGGCGCAGCGCAGAGCAGTCCCGGGTAGACGTCGGGCAGCTGCGGGGCCGACCCTTCCGAGTAGTGAATCTTCATTAGGTGGTCAAGTTGGTTGAGTTGAGGGTACGTTGGATGAGTGGGCTGTTGCAGGAAAAAGTGACCAGGGCTCATGTGGCACGACAGTATGACGTCGTTCGCAACGTGGTCTGGGGCGAGTTGAAGCTGTTTGGAAAAAAAATAAGGAAATTAAGCTTATTTGTTAGCGTGTGAAAGGGTGAGAGACGTACTTGGCATGATTGCGGCAGAACCGATAAACTGGGATTAGGCAAGGGTGCGAGAGAGACATCGGGATATTCCTTGAAGGGGAAACGCTTGCGAATCAAATTCAGAGCAGTGTTGATTCCAGCTTTAGTGCCTGGTGGGGAAGAAGCAGAAAAGTGATTAGAAAAACAGTCGACCAGCTAGCATCAGCAGACAGGCGCAATTGAGCACACTACACGAACCGGTAATTGAGCAAATTTTGTGTGAAGGGACGTAGTGCGTGCTGACGATGATCTGCGTGCCAGAGCTCTGCTTGACAAAGTTAATGTAGTGGCCGTTCGATCCGATGAGCTTGCCGCACAGGTAAAACGGCAACTCAAACTGGTAGCACACAATGGCCGACGGGTCTTCGGGGGGAGTTGCGGTGGCGGTGGGGCTGCTGTTGTCGCTGCTGTTGACTATGTGATATGCACTGGCAGGGGAGGACTGCTGCGAGTGGTCTCCGCCGTTGGTGATAGTGGTATCGGCGTGCAGAAGCTCACTGCTGCCGGTGCCGCTGTCATTGGAGCCCTGTGGGGGGGAGGGAGGGAATGGCAAAGTGTTAGTCAGTGTCAGTAAAAGGAGGGAAAATGAAATGAAATCGTACCAGACTGCGTACATCACAGGTGAACTGATCACCCAGGTCACTGTTGGGTGAGCACTGTCCCTCAATGGAGGAGGAAGACTGGCTGGGGGTGGCACTGGTGGCATCGGGATAGTTGCGGTAAGCGTCCACTTCCTCCTGCTGCTTACTGCTGCTGCTGCTGATGGTAGTGCTGGTGTTTGTGGCGATGGCGGCGTGTGGGCTTGTAGGACTGCTATTGCCGCTGCTTTCCTGCACCACTGAAGCATAGGAGACGGCAGCCTTGGCGCTGGAGGCGGCAGCAGCCTTCGCGGCAATCTTCGGCTGGTCCACCGGCTTCGGGCCACTCGATTGGGCCATCTTTTTGGACTGTTTGGTACTAGGCACAGCGGCGGCGTTCTTCTTCGCCAGCACTTGAGCAAAGGTCTGACTACTTGTCACTGGATTGGAGGTGATTATCTTGCGACTGGTCACCGCCGGTGCCACACGAATAGTGGTTGTGCTGCTGCTGGCATCAGTGGTGGCGGCCACTGAAGCGGTCGAAGTGGATGTGCTGGCACCAGCAGAGACGACAACGTCGGCGACGGCGGCAGCAGAAGTGGCAGCTGCTGTGTCGGATGCTGGTTTTGATGATGCTGGTGGCGATGTCTGAGCCTGAGTCTGGTGGCCACTCTTGGCCGCCTGCTGCTGCTCTTGCTCTTTCAGTTTCTGCTGATTGTCAACCTGCAGAGGAGTCTCGGTAGGGGTAACAACAACATCCGAGGCAGTAGTAGCGGCAGCCGCAGCACCGGCATCAGCGACGGCAGCAGAAGTAGCAGGTGTACGGTTTTCAACGTCTACGGCGACGCTGCCGCTATCAGCGGCGGTGGCAACAGTATCGGTAGTCTGGCCGTCGCTGCCGCCAGTACTCAGTTCTTTAGTCAGTTCAGGAGCACCAGTTTCAGTGCTGCATCCTCCTCCTCCTTCAAGGACAGAATCCACCAGGGGACTGCTGTCAGAGCAAATGCTGTCGGTACGGCAGTCATCGTGAACTTCCACTTCGTTGGCCATCTCGGGAGCGCTCGTACTAGTAGCTTCGGCGTCGGCTTCGAAAGGACAACTGTAGTTCGCGACAACAGTTGAGGCAATAGTGATGCAACTGCTCTTCTCGACGCAAACGGCACCGTCGACTGTATCCTCCTCAACGTGAGATTTGCAGTTGTCCAGCACTTTGATTTGCTCAACAACAGTGGTGGTGGTGGTGGTGGTGGCGGTGATGGTGGTGGTGACGGCAGCAACAGTGGTGGCAGTTGGGGCAGGCGACAAGATTTGCGAATCACCTTCTTCTTCTTCTTCCTCAACGACGACGATCCTTTCACCGCAGACTGCTGGTGCTGGTGGTGATGAATGTTTTCTGCGCTTTCGCAGCTGCCAGTAGTAGAGGGTAACGATGGCGGAAGCTAATGCCAGGACACTACATGCGAGTAGGGCACGGTTAGACTGGATTGCCATACGGGAGAGCCCAGAGACCAGAGGGATCCAGAATTTGAGCTTCTGCTATACCAGCGTGGTCGTGGTCGGCGGTGCGGTAGATGCTGCTGGTGGTGGACGGACGGGAGAAAATGCTGCCTCTGCGGCGGCGGCTGCTGGTGCTGCTGCTGGCGTACAGCTCGTTTGCTTGTGCAGACGGACGAGAGCACGCTGTCGAGAACAAGCAACAAGCACACGCACAGAGGACACAAGCAGGCACAGACGGGGAGAGGGCCGGCCTGCGCATGCACCAGAGAGGCCACCACGACGCGCGGACTTCCTCTGCCAGCGCTGCCACTGCCGCGTGCTGTGGTGGCGGTCGTGGTGGTAGCAGAAGTAGTGCAGCTGCCGCTGCTGCTGGTCAGAACTTGCCGGTCGTCGTTGGCGAGGAATTTCTGGAGCTGTAGAGATTGAAGAACAAATCGCTCACAGGTACACAAATGCAGTGTGGCCAGGTGCTACAGGAAATGGTAGTGGAGGTTCTACGCTAATTAATTAGTCAATGCTGGTGCCGACCGGGGAAGGTCACCGAGAGGTAGGCGCAGGCGTTGCTGAGCAAAGACCGCACTTCTGGACCAGCACTTCTGAAGCAGCGTTGACTCCTGACCTCGCACGTGGCACCGGGCTGGCTGCCCTGCGCTGCTCTGCTTTGTACCCACGTGGTGAGAGCGCTGCTGAATAAAGAGCAACACAGGAGGAGACTGACGGTTTGCCCGGATTTGAAAAAAATTATGATATTTGCTGTCTCTTTCAGCAGTGCTAAGGTTACAGTTTTTGTGTGAGGCTCTTTGCTGGGAAAGCACTGTCACAGTAACGTCATAACTTTTTCAAAGCCTGGCAAACAGTCAGCCAAGGCGACGCTGTCGCGATCTGACGGTGTCCCGCAAAGGGGTCGGACTTTTAAACTTTTGAAAGCTTTTGCCGGTCCAGTTGCCGTTTTCCCTTCAACTCAAAAGCGAGATCTTCTTACTGCGAACTTACTGAGGCAGAAAGCAAAACGAGGCACTACTGTTAGTGCTTTTCAAGAAAGTTCTACTACCAATGTTGTCATGATGACATTTTGCTGTTGATGGTGAAATGAGGCGGTGTTGTTCAACCAGAGCGATGACGACAGACAAGTTGCTTGATGCTCTTCAGCAGCACCACCTTACCTGAACATAACGGGCACATCATCGACTGCCACTTTACTCGAACACTGATGGCACACTGATCATCAACGTTGACCAGTCATCGGCCATCCACGTCACGTCACCTTTTATTTGATAATGAAGCAGTGATTTTCGAAAAGTGATAACCTGCCAACTGCTCAACCAGATAGCAGCACCGAGGCCGTGTTTGAAATTATTGCGCAAAAATACAACGTTTGNCTTACCTGAACATAACGGGCACATCATCGACTGCCACTTTACTCGAACACTGATGGCACACTGATCATCAACGTTGACCAGTCATCGGCCATCCACGTCACGTCACCTTTTATTTGATAATGAAGCAGTGATTTTCGAAAAGTGATAACCTGCCAACTGCTCAACCA